GATACATTTCTTTGCCTTTGCCTCGAGCTTGTCACTATCTGCATCTCTAACTTTGACATAAGAAATACAACCAAAAACTTTCAAGTGATTAAGAGATACCTCACGACCTTTCCATTCCTCTTCTGAAATTTTGAAACCTATGGGAGATGGGAGATGAGGGTCCTCTGTTGATCAAGTATGCTGATGTGTTCACCGCATCGGCCCAGAACATCTTTGGAAGTCCTGCATGTAATCTCATGCTCATGGCCCTCTCATTCGGTGTTATGTTCATCCTCTCTGCAACACCATTTTGCTGTGGTGTTTCTGGAACCGTCTTCAACATTCTTATCCCCTGTTCAGCACAATACTCTACAAACTTTGTGCTACTGTACTCTCCCCCATTATCACTCTTTAAACACTTAATCTTAAGATTTGTTTCATTCTCAATTGCAGCTTTGAACTTCTTAAAAGTGTTAAAGACATCAGATTTATTTTTAAGAAAATAAACACATACCTTCCGTGTAGAGTCAACAGTGAATGTAACATAGTAGCGGGAACCTCCAATCGAAGAGACCTTTGTAGGTCCGTAGACATCTAAATGAATCAACTCCAACCGCTCAGTCTTGGGTTGTTGTCCTGTTTTCACAAAGGTTATCCTCTTTTGTTTGCCAAGAACACATGGCTCACAAAAGCTCAACTTTGAATTCTTCAAATCTGAGATTTACCCTTTGAAGACAGCATCTTCATTCCGTTCTCACTTATGTGCTCAAGTCTTTGGTGCCACAAAGTAGAGACCCCTGCATCTTCAACGGCTGTGTTTGCTCCATCTGTGAACAGATCAACCATGTACAGTATACCATGCTTTTGTCCACGAGCAATGACCAGCTTTCCCTTTATCACCTTCCATTGCTTGTTGCCAAAACTAACGTTATGGCATTCCTCATCAAGTTGTCCCACTGAGATCAACATCTTCTTCAGGTCTGGAATATACCTCACATCTTTCAGCCTCCAGGTTGTACCCAAAGTGGTACTGAGATCAACATCCCCAATACTCGTGATCTCCAGGGACTTGTCATCCGCCAAACGAACTCTTCCGCTGTAGGGCCTGGAATTTTTCATCAAATCCCTGCAATGACAAGCATGAAACGACGCACCTGAATCCATGATCCAGGATTCAATTGAATTCTCAACGCTGCAAATTAGAACATCTTCATAATCCTCTGTCACGTTCACCTCCTTATTGTGTTTGTCTGCAGAGGCTTTTGGGCACTGATTTTTGAAGTGTCCATTCTCCTTGCAATTCCAACAATTGATGTCCTTCCTATTCTTGGATTGACCTCTCTTCCTCGACTTTGATCTTCCTTTCTTGTAACCCATTTAGTGGATTTTCTGCCCCTATCTTCAGCAAGAATTAAGTCACGAATACCTTCAAAGGTAAGCTTAGTAGTTCCAACCAAACTATTAACTGTTGTGACTGTATCGGACCAACTATCGGGCAAAGATGATAACAAAAGTAATGCTTGAACTTCATCATCGAATTTAATCTCAACCGAGCCTAACCTGGATATGATTGAATTAAACGCGTTGACGTGATCTGTCACGGCTGCACCTTCCTTCATCCTTGTGTTCACCAACTGTCTGATTAAGAAAACCTTGTTGGCTGCTGAGGGTTTCTCGTACATGTTGGATAATGCCTTGAGCATTCCAAACGTTGTTTTCTCGTTGACGATGTTGTAAGCAACGTTTTTCGCCAACGACAACCGCACCACACCAAGAGCCTGTCGATCTAGCAAGTTCCACTCCGCCTCCGCCTCCGCCATTGCAGGAATTTTTCATCAAATCCCTGCAATGACAAGCATGAAACGACGCACCTGAATCCATGATCCAGGATTCAATTGAATTCTCAACGCTGCAAATTAGAACATCTTCATAATCCTCTGTCACGTTCACCTCCTTATTGCCTTTGTCTGCAGAGGCTTTTGGGCACTGATTTTTGAAGTGTCCATTCTCCTTGCAATTCCAACAATTGATGTCCTTCCTATTCTTGGATTGACCTCTCTTCCTCGACTTTGATCTTCCTTTCTTGTAACCCATTTAGTGGATTTTCTGCCCCTATCTTCAGCAAGAATTAAGTCACGAATACCTTCAAAGGTAAGCTTAGTAGTTCCAGCCAAACTATTAACTGTTGTGACTGTATCGGACCAACTATCGGGCAAAGATGATAACAAAAGTAATGCTTGAACTTCATCATCGAATTTAATCTCAACCGAGCCTAACCTGGATATGATTGAATTAAACGCGTTGACGTGATCTGTCACGGCTGCACCTTCCTTCATCCTTGTGTTCACCAACTGTCTGATTAAGAAAACCTTGTTGGCTGCTGAGGGTTTCTCGTACATGTTGGATAACGCCTTGAGCAGTCCAAACGTTGTTTTCTCGTTGACGATGTTGTAAGCAACGTTTTTCGCCAACGACAACCGCACAACACCAAGAGCCTGTCGATCTAGCAAGTTCCACTCCGCCTCCGCCTCCGCCATTGATTCTGGTTTGTTCTCAGACAAGGGTTGATGAAGCTTCTTCTGGTAGAGATAATCCTCGATCTGCATCTTCCAGAAAGCGAAATCTTGACCATCAAATTATCGATCTTAACCTTTCCTTCGTCAGCCATAGCTCTGATACCACTTGTTATGATTTAGGTTAAGTAAAACGATAATTTCAAGAACTAGAACACAAGAATTTACGTGGTTCACACAATCGGGGTGATTGTGCTAGTCCACGGTGAACGAGAGAGCAGTGTATTATTATGTTGGCGTCAGAGTTTACAAGTACATAAGAGTCGTTTAAATAATAGGTTTAAGAAAACCTAAACACAATTAAGAGACGCAGGCCCGAAAAACAGAGCCCATAATTAACTTTTCCCGCATACCCGGTCGGGTAAACCCATGTACCCGGTCGGGTATGTGATCCAGAGACCTATCTTCATGCTACCCGGTCTGCTAGCCAGGCGGGTAGCCTTCACTGCCAAGATACCCGGTCGGGTAAAATACCCTACCCGGTCGGGAATGTGATCCAGAGAACCTATCTTTAATAAAATCGGGAACGTTCTTTCTTTTTCTTTCCACCACTTCAGAACGTCAAACTCATCACCCTCTTCATGATCAACAAGAAACGTTAGATTTAAAGAAAGCTCATTAACTGAGCTTTGTGCACATATGGAAGACTTATACAAGTTTAATTTGGGGTCAGGATGAGTCCACTCCCTCACCAGATGGAATCATTAACCATATTAAATTCTACTCTAAGGTCTGGTCTGCTAGCCTCTCAACGGTTAGGTTTCATAAAGTAGAAAGGGTACTGTATGAGGAAAATCCGATACCTAATACTTTCAGATTAACTCGGCCAACCATTCTGGCTGTAAAATGGAGGAAACCAATTCGAACCTTTAAATTAAAGAATTTTTTACCTAAGTAGGACTAAATGCACTTTTTTGTGCACAAATAGGACTCCAACCGTGAGTCAAGTTTCATAGGACTAAAAAGGTGTTGGTCTTCCAATTTTAGCCTCTACGTTAAATTAATTGAACGTTCAGCCGAGGGAAAAACGGTTATGCACAATGGGTCCGGTATTTTCAACGCGGGGGCAATTCTGTACGGGTGAAATACGTATGTTTTAGTATAGGATTAATACAGTCCTTCTTAGGGAAATAAACATAGTTAGTCCTAATTAATAATTTTAAAAGTTTTTTAGTCCTATATGAGACAATTTCTATAAATTAAATACAGACGCAAGTTACTCACCTTACTCTTCGACTGGAGGAGCGATCTTGAGGGATAAGGTTGGTCGTATGGTGTGTCATGTGTGCAATCTCATTTCCGCCGCAAGCGTCTTCTCCCCTAAACGCAAAAGTCCAAACAACTATGCGCTCCATTATCTGGATACTCGAGGAAGGATTCTTGGATTTTGAGGTTGAAGTTGATTCAACGGAGGTGTTGAGTATTATCAGGGAGGGTGGAGTAGGTGGATGGTTATGTGAAGTGAAGGCCATGCTTCTGTTGTGGAAGATAGGGAGGTTTCCTTTTCGAGTATATGGCATGAGGCAAATTGGGTTGCTCACTTCATTGCAGATCAGGTTCCGGCCCAATTCCACGTTTTCTCTGAGCCCGAGTTACTATCAACCTGTGCTAAGAATGCTTATTTTATGGATCTTTTCGAGATTCCTTCTCTTCGTATTATGTATTAATTTTTGATTCTGTTGTTTATTTTGTTGTTTGACTTTTGGATCTGTAAACTTTCACGATCTTAATAATATCCTGGTAAATTCTCCCCGATATTTACCCCACTGATTTGAGTGGTTTGCCTTCCGGGGTAAAAAAATTGAACTTTGTGCAATTGTGGGAGTTGTTTTACTTTTTTTATAACATTGCCAAATGTAGATTTCAAAAATGATTTTCCTTTAAATGAAAAAGATATTCGTGTCAGGCGAGGGACGTGTTACCATATTGTGCATGAAACTCACTATATAATTGATGAAATAAATTACTAACCTATTTCTCTTTAGGATCTATGGGTTTATCTTCATACATATGAAATGGACCAAAAAATGAAGCATAATAGTATTCTAAACACTGTTGTAATGCATTGAGTTTGAAACGAGGATCAAGAATAAATCCAATACCATATATATGCAGAATATGTGAATAATATTTTAAAAACTTTTCTTTCAGGTAATTACTAATATGATGAAGACAGACAAGAAAAAAAAAAGAAAAAAAAAGAAAATAATAATAAATTAAGAAAAAACATGTAAGCTAAAGCCTAAAGATAAGTATAAGATAACAATCAATAAATAAGAACAAAGTTGAATATATATGTACAAAAAATTGAAAAATCAAAGTTCACTTTTCTTCCACATTTTACATGGCATGGTTTAACATAACAACCTGCCTTTCTGAGCATGTTTTTTTTTCATTTTCTATACTATTAAAGTAACCATAGCTTCAGGTTTTTTCCATTATTGCTACGTTGACGGTTAAAATTTGCTTCCCACATACACAAAGTGGCCTTATTTTTGAAAAAATGAGCCAGCATACTGAATTTTATGTGGCAAATTAATACGTAGTACTATCGTACAAGCGTAAGTGCTGGACTAGAAAGATGATGTGCACTCCTATACTGAATTTCTTCATAGTTTAAACTTCAATTTTTTACTATATTAATCGATAATGGCTGTTCTACAAATCACCACCCAATTTTAATTAAATACTGCACCAATTACACTTGCTCTGCCTTCAGATTCCTCAAAATAGCTGTTGCCTCGCCATCAATAACTAGAGAGCCATCGTGCTTGAAGCATTTTGTGGAGAACTTGGCCCTAAAAAACAAATAAACATTAAGAGCCTGTTTGGTAACCCTGAAATCGGTTGAATGAAATTTATAAAATTCTGGCTGAAGTAGATGTATTGGCTAATTCTGCTTATTTATGAAAAAATTAAATTTAAAATATACTACGTATATTATTAATAAAATGAAGAAAAAATTATATGTAAAAATAGCTAAAATGGTGGTCTACAGTAACTCCAGCTGATACAACCAGAAAAGTAACTTCAACCTTACTTTTTCTTATTATTACACATTTCAGGCTTTTAGCGCACGAAATCAAAACCTACGTGTTTGGTTAAAAAGTTAACTGATAAACCTGATAACCCAAAAAACAGTGTTACCAAACAGGATCTAAAAAACAAAGAGAAAATATAAAGGTGGTCTACGGAAAAAAACATAAACAGCTTGAACATACACATGTTTCGTTTTCAGATCCTTGATATTTTTTGTCCATATTTCGCCAACTATCTGCTCTCCGATGTACACCGGCAACTTGAAGTGTAATGTTTGAGAAACATATACAGCTCCTGGCTATAACAAAAAAGTATTCTGAATGCAGTCATAAATGAAAGTATACCCAAGGTCCCAAACAATATGCTTCCAAATTATTTAGCTCGGATACTGTACATCAGAAATATTACGTTCCGGTACTTATCTGAGATTTCTTAGTAGTCTCGGGTGTATTGGCAACATTTTAAAAAAATGGATACTCCTATCCTAGGTGAACATGCATATCAAGTGAAAAACGTTAATACAAAAGGTGCATTGATGTATGCATTGATGGATGTATGCATAAAATTAAGTATTAAATTAATTTTTATTATCCTTGTGAAATAATAAATAATTATTCATATTTTTCTAAATATCATAATTAAATTACAATAAAGAACTTTCTTTGCAAGTGACTCCTTATAATTTGTAATATTTGCAAAATAAGCCTGCATACCCCATCCTAAACTTTCCAAGAGCTATCACCATACCAGTATCTAATTATCCACGCTTCACCGATGCAATATACAGTTCAACATAAGTCTTTAATTAGAGGAGTAAAGTGAAGGAGACAAGTACTAACGAAATTTGAAGCAATGGTTCTTGGAAATAAGGAGGCGACGAGCATTCCAGGAACAACCCTGTCATTGAATCCAGCAGCCTTGGCCCATTCAGGGTCAAAATGCAAAGGATTTGTGTCATGGCTCATTCTAGAGTAAGCAAGCACATCTGCATCTGTAAACACCTGAGCTTGCTTCAGAACATCCCCACACTTGAGAAAACTGGAAGACGTGAACGAAGAGAAGCTGCGGGAAGAAGAAACGTAGCTCCAAGACGCACGCCTCACTAGCATTCTTCAAGAAACCCCTCAAATATCACAATAGAACATTAATTTAGGAGAAGTACACATCCGCCAACTTTGGACCTACATAATTAGATGATTGAATACCACAGGAGCAATTCATCAAACCAGCAAAACAGTCATCAGTAATATTTTTATAAATGAATACAATCTGATATAACCACTACACATTAATGAATCGTAAAAGAATAACATGACATGTAGGGTTGGCCCACATTATTATGGTTTGTAACTTTGTATATTAAAAGTAACATACCTTTTATTCCAGATATGTTTTCAATCTGATACAAATAACTGGGAAGGCATAACCAGGATACGAATGAGCTATGGCCAAAAATCACACTTCCAATTAATAAAGTAGCAGTTCAAACTCCTTCCTACAGCATGAAGAACGCACATGGCCACATCTTTCCTCATTTGTAATAGATAAACTAGTTTTTTACACGTGCGTTGCGCGATAAATTAAGTGCACAATGTGTTATATATGTGTGTGTGTGTGTAGCATATGCATGTATGCTCAGTTGTGAAAGTTAGTACAAAAGGATAAATTTGATATTTTGATAAGAACACAAAACCATAGATTTCAATTTTAACAACATACTACGTATATTGTTAGAAGTTTATGAGGTTAATGGGAAATTAGATGCAATACAAATCATCTGTTTGTTTAATTCTACCTCAGCATTCGGAACATCTCAACAGTGAATAATATGTACTACAGAAAAATCACACGATACACTCAAAGAGCATCATACAACAACACCAGCCAAGCCTTTGTCTCAAAACATTCGGGTTAGTGCAATTAACCAATAGAAAAACTGTTGACACCCACAAAAAAACTCATTTTCTACTCCTTCCTGTCAAGTACATTAATATGTTCATTGACCCTGAACGCTCTGTCATAGTTTTTATGCCTTCAATTCATGTCATTTTAGGCCTATCGACATTCCTCTTTTAGTCTAAAACACTCCAAGACGACACTCTCTGCGTCAGAACTTGTTTATCGACAATCAAATGCCCTTACATCATCTTAATTGCCTGTTGCACCCACTCTGATGTGAAAAATCTCATTGTGCACCTGATAGCCTCTGTCAGAGGATAGGTAGTTTTCCATGTCAGCCTCTCCTCCAACATTTCTAGCTCAAAGGTGTCGCCATGCCCAGTCATATAGAAACCAAGCAAACACTTCTTTAACTCACTAAAAAAAACTTGTCCTATGGAAAATAATTTTGTTACTTTTATCAAAAATAAAATCCAATCTTAAACCACTAATAATAACCAAATTGCTGAAATGAATTCAGAATTTCTAGAAATGATGATCTCAACAACTTCAAATTCATTATTTAATTTATTCTATTCAGGCTTTGGCAAGCATCCACAAATGAAGGGCTATTCAGACATTTTCTTTTCCCGCTTTTAAGTCATCCTGATTTAGCTACTGAGTGTGGTCTTTACATTCACTACAAAGCATAAGAGAACAGAATGAAGCAATAAATCTCTTACATGATTACCATGAATGTCATTCAAGCAAATTTACAAACACTTAGTGAGCCATGTTTTCACCCCACACAACACCTTATACATATGACTATATGAGAGTATCAAGTAATATAGCCAAAAAGTCCTACTGTACAGCAAAGAAAACACAAACGAAGAAAACTGATTCTACATTAAGATGCCTATATTATTAGAATTACCTACTTAAATATTGTAGAAGAATTTACAATTTTTGTATACATAGAAGTAAAGAAACTCTCCAAGACAAACAATTTGAGTTTATTAGTAAGGAACTCACAAACATACGACAGTGATGGAATGAAAACCCCTTTGAAGAATTTGTAGAACCTATTTGTAATTTCCGTTAACAAAAGCAGGAAACTTCTATGTTGTTGGTGGCAACGGAAGAGAATGGGTAGATGATAAAGCAATCAATACTCCGTACATAATAATGCAATTAAACACATAGAGCAATTAAAAGGTTAGGCAACACCAAGAAAACTGAACGGAGTGAACTTGAGGGGTTTATGGGTTGATGTTAACGGAGGTGGTAAGGAGAAATAAAGATTAATAATGAATGGTACAATGAGTATATCAAACTGTACACCTGCATGGTGCTTTGGTTTACACCAACATTTTTTCATACCTTAAATGCCCTAACCATCATTGGTGTTTATAAGATTTTAGATACATTTCAATACCATATGCCAAATAAAAACTTCTACATATTTCCTTCTATCAATTATTTAAATTTTCAAATTCATTGTTCGGACAGTTGAAACAATAATTAAATTCTCATTTCAATAAACTCAATAACAGTTCCAACTTCAAACATGTCTAATAATCAAATTTCCAGTTCCAACCACATAGAAACTGAAATACAGAAAAAACCAATTAACCTGAAAAAAAGAGGAAATAAAATTACCAATGTCAGGAAAAAAATTAAAGCTGAAAAGTTGAATAACTTAAAGCTGATTTCTTTACCAATGTTAAAATAAAATATTAACAAAGTAAAAAAATGAAGGGAAACGTAACGTCTGTGGCTGGAATCCTGGATGGAAGGTGTAAGGCCTGGTTAGCACCGCACCGCCAGGGGCAGATCTAGCATTTCAATCTAGTGTGAGCCAAAAAATCATATATTTAAATAACTGTAATTGCAAAAAAAGGCTCCCACCTACGGTGGGGTAAGGGGGGTCAGATGTACGCAGTCTTACCCCTGTACTAAAAGCACAAAGAGACTGTTTCCGAATGATCCAAGTGAAAATCGCGTCAAAAATTGCATAGACTGACTGTTACTTCATACCAAAGAAGCACAGACGGTTTAGTGAGCCACTTTGCTTTATTCCATCATATTCCCAAGCCAAAAAATAGTGAGTCTTTGGCTCCATTGAAAATGATGTAATTGCAAAAAAGTAAATCAAAAAAAATATTTCAAATATTTCTAGGGATAAAAGTTGTCATCCATGTCAACTTGTCAAGCACAAACAAATACGTAGTACATCAGAAATTCATAATTGTTCTCTACTGGTTTTCATATGATAAGTTATACTATCCTAGTCCCTAGAAGGGTCCTCAAAATTATATGAAAAACAGTGGGACTATTACTAACACAAGTTTATGAGATTAACTCTAAATAAAGGGATTAATATTCAAAATCATATCAATACTAAATAACTAATGGGATCAACTCTAACTTTCTAAACAATGGGACTCACTCTCAGTCTATCATATTGAAACAAATGGGATTAATACTAGACAATGAAAATCAAGCCGACAAAAAGGGAATTGCAAATTGGAAATCAACTTAACCAAATGTCCAAATTGAAGTTCAAATGCACTTTGAGCGCACTCATACAAATAATAAGATTTTAATGGAGCAATATTATGTCTTTGAAGAGTCATAAAGTATACTATGTATTTTTTCATATGCGTAAATCCTCCTCTAGTCCTCTGTAATCAGGGCCGGCCCTGTCCGTTTCAAGGCCTTGGGATGGAGAATTGAAAATGGGCTTAATGAAAAATCCAAAACTCTTATTTGTCTAAACAAACAAGCATAATAATAATATTTCGATGTCTTCATAATAAAGAAAAGGCTTAAATTCATAAAATTAAACATTGTAGAATCACAGTTTCAAAAAATATTACTTATGGGATCCCTTGTTCAGGCATTTTGATAAGAATAGCCGGATCCTTATCACATTTATTCCCCCGAGCAGCATGATCATAAATATCCAAAATCAGAGGGAAAAATGGATATTTTCAAATCCTAAACTATCACCTCCTAAAAATGATCACTCTGAACAGTTTCATTTTCGACTGCTAAATCATTCATCTCCTCCGGTTTATCATTCTCATTCAAAGAAAAAATTGATTGTACAGTTGATAATGCATCACCTTGAGCAGGACATTCGGGATTTGACTTCTTGAAACACAATTTTTCCATTGAGCCTTTTTTATTAAGGGCCCCTTTCACTAATAACTTAATTAGTGGCATCTACAAACCACCAAAATCACTACAGCACTACTCAAATCAACTAAATAAGAAATCAAGTAGTCGACACACAGAAACTAATCAACTCACAACAATCAACATTCAACAACTATGATTTTATATTTCTATGACGCATTAAACTAATCAAGTAATCAATATTAGAGTTAAATAGGTAAACAGCAGATTAGCAGAATACCAGGAACAGCAGCAGGCAGAATGCACCGGAGGGCAGGGGGTCGAAGGGCCGGAGGGGCTAGGATTCTGGGAAGTTGGGAGGAATCGGATCGCAGGTACACTGAGAAGGGGCAGGGACGGGCGCCGGTCGGAAGTAATCAAGCGTCGCAGCCGTTGCTGCGTCGGTGACTGGGCGGCTTGACGGTCGGCGTTCCGACTTCCGAGTCTCGAACCGCCGAAAGGCGTTCGTGAGTGACGGAGTTTCTCGGCTTCGTCCAGTCAAGTGCTGTCCTTCGACTTCGTCGTTTTCGTGAATCGGTCCCTCGTCAGGCTCGCTGGATGAGGTGTCCGTCTTCTGCTTTCGCGAATAATTTCGCGATACAGGCGAGTGACGCGAGTTGGGCTGTCCTCGGACGCTTGGGAGTTGGGACTAGGTCTTTTACACAACAGAGCTTTTAGCGGACTATTCGAGTTCGGTTTCGAACCTAACGAGCTGAGCTTAATGAGCTTTCGATCTCGAACCCGAGTTGAGTTTTAAGTTAGAAAAACTAATAGAGCCGAGCTCGAACATAGTAGTATTCGGCTCGGTTCGAACTCGAGCCTATTGAACTCCCTGAAATTATAAATATAATTTATATGTATGAAAAAATTTAAATATATTTAGTATGATTTATGAATTTAAATATGATTATTAACGAACCGAATACTTGTCGAATCATTCGAGCACGAGCCTATTAACGAGCATCACCTAAAATTTTAATATGGAGCATATTTATTGAACTTATCGAGCGTTCGGTTCGAACATCGAACGTCTGTCGAGCCGAACACGAGCCTCATTTTAAGTTTTAGTCTTTAAGAATGTTAGCTTTAGCCTCCATGCAATTCATTTTAGTATTTAATAATTGTATTTTAGCAATACAAAAACATGAGGTCACATGGAAGAGCTTTTCTTTTTTTTCTTTTAAATTATTGTCGATCCCCTATATATTGATTTAATGTGTTCATTCAATTCATCAATTCATGTTTTTATTTTTTGTAAATTAAGGGATGCAAGCTTAAGCCGCCATGCAATTAATTTTTGTATTTAATAATTGTATTGTATTTATTAATTTTTTATTTTACACTATTGTTGATCTCATATGCCTTTAATGTGTTTATTCAATTGATCAATTCATGTTTCTATTTTTAGTAAAATACGGGAAAAATACGTTTTATACGGGAAGTAGGAGTTTTTTTCCTTTTTAAACGGACCGACATTATTTTTTGTTTTAAACGTGTTTTTTTGTTCAAAAAAACGATACGCGTTTAAAACGGAAAAAAGCTAACTAGGCCTAGACTTAATGAATAAGATTTTCAAAAAAATATATCAAAAAATTCCACCGGGAACCGCCCCAAATAGCGTCGGCCGGACAGAGCATCCTAAATATGGCCTTATTTAACATTTTTTTTCAAGTTTGAGACTCTATGTGACCCTTATCCCTTTTATCTATCATTTCACCTTTTACTTTTTGTGGACCAATCCTACTTTTTCTTACTTTTTGAGGTTACAATGGTAAAATAACAGCCCTTCTCCTTTATTTTCTTAAAACTTGTGTCAAACCCAAGTATATCACTACAATGCTGGACTTGAGTAACTCGGACACATTATGATATTCCTCCAATTCATACTTATTCATATTCAGAACTAAATGAAATAGTAAATAATACCAGAAAATACAAAAGAAGTTCAAAACCGACCAAGTAGAAATGAATAAAAGTGTAAAACAATTGCTAAGCTACTAAATATTCTTTTAAAAGTAAAACCAATGGAAGAATTAAGCAATGTGAAAGGCTTAAATGCTTAATAAGCATTGTATTATAGAGTTGCATCTATACCAGCAAAAGCTTTATAAAAGTATGCTAAAATTTCAGAAGTAATAAAAAACCTCAGGCATGTAGACGATTAAGGTTTAAATGCTTCAAGATGAAAAGGGACAGGATGAATCATAGTTTTTCAAACATCTCCTGCTCGAATTCTTGATCTACAAAAAACCAACAAGTAGCCTTTTGCAAACTACAGCTAACAAATCGAAGGAAAAAAAGTAATGCTAAGAAAACTTCGGAGCAAGAGATAGAGGAGATTATATCAGCTCAAGGAAATTGGTAGAATGATGTCCATGAATCATAATCAATAGATACACTAAAGTAAGAGGCATGTTAGCTTACTGTATGAAATCAAAAGATCACATTGAAATCGTGACAAATAAAATAAGGAAGGTCTGGGCTGTTGAGTGATGGCATTGGCCACGGATATGGCGGAGAAGCAAAAAGAGAAACAGCACTGCCAGGATTACAAAGCTCTAATGGTAGAGAAAATGATGATGTCATAGATAGCTAATGGAGCAATGAGAGAGTAAAAATTAGAAAAAAAGAAGAAACAAGGCAAACAACAAAGATAAAAACTATAAAGGCCATGTAGAAAAAAAAATATGAAGCAATGAAAAAAATAAATCTATAGAAGATTTATTTTTTTCATGTAATTCTGGTTGTTGTCTTTTCTGCTGTTTGTACAACTCTCTATTTTAATAATATAATGGTATTTGTTCCCCGGCATCTACCCCACTGATTTTGGTGGTTTGCCTTCCGGTGTAGGAAAAAAAATTGTAGAAGAAAAAACAGAAGCCAAGGTACCTCCCTTGATATCTATGTAATTTGAAGTATTAAATATACTCATTTATGACTCCAAAAGTAAAAAAGGCATCTCCCTAAAAGCTAAACAAAGATCTATTGTGTAAATATGGAGTGTTATTGAGTTTCCTTGTCTAAAAAATTATGATTTAATTGCAATTACAATAACCGAACATTAAGGGTGTGTTTGGGAGTTGGGTTTTGGAGGGGAGGGGAAGGTTAATGGGGATTTATGACCCTCCTTTTCATGTTTGAGAGTAAATAATTGGAGGGTGGTTTTGGAGGGCCCTTCAAAACCCTCCAAATGCTTGATTTTTAAGTTCCCCGATTTGGAGGGTTTTGGAGGATAATTAAAAAGATGGTAATTTAAGCTAAATTAGAAATGAATATTAGCTCAATGATTTAAATTCGTCATATCTCAAAGTGATTTTAATTATAATTCCTTCAAAAACCTTCTCCTTCCGATTTTATTAATCCAAAATACAAAGAAGGACTTCCTAAGAGTGCGGCAATTCAAATATCTTCTGCAGAGGCAGCTTAGCAAGAATCAATTTTCAATGGCCAATGATGCGAATACATTGACAATTGAACTTTTGAAGGAACGGCGAACCATATTAGAAGCATAAAGTCATGCATATGAGACAACTGATCATTTCCAATCATATTAGAACTACCTCATTCATCCATTATGTACACATACTGTAGATAAAAAAGACTAATCTTTTACTAGGCAAAATGATCAGAAAACAAAGGAGAGAAAGTATCATACACCTGTAAGTGAATATGTTCAATTGCTATACTGAATTTTGCCAAGTGCAGGGATACTACACAGCTGGAGGAGTATCAAGTGAAGTGCAGAGATGAATTTTGCGTCGGAAACGCAAAGGAATGACACAATGGTTTTTGCGTTGCCTCAGCTTGAATGGGCTCTGTTTTAATGGGGTTGGGCTGAGCTGTAATGGGCATGTCAAGGATTTTGTTATTCTAGTAGGTTTAATAATGCACCAAACCTCATTTGATACACATGGTACTTTCGTATAAATTTGGTACATTAGCCTCTGTGATTTACTAGTTACTCCACTCGTGCGTTGCACGGGAGTGAGATACCCACATAATAATTTTGATATAATTATATATTTAAAAATATTTAAAAAAATATTTTGATCTATCATGATGCAGACTGTGTGGGTCCATTGTGAATGGAGGTTTTCCCAGAATAGAAGGCTCTGTAGCAAAAGCATTTTCCTCTGAGAAATTGCTTCCATTTTGGCCATTACCATGAGGTGAGGGTGTGGAAATATGTTGCTCTGACCTGATCTCAATGAAATCCATCCTTTTTGTATGTTATCAAATTGTTTAAGGATTTCCATCTGAAGAATATCTCCTTGTTTCTGCTCTGCAGCTTCTCATTTCAACGTTTCAGCTAGGAGGGACTGCTCCATCCTTTTTTGACCATCTAGACATTCCTTCAATCTGGTACCCTCCGCCATCTTCCTAGATCAGAACAACTCTGATACCAAATGTTATGACTCGGAGAAGAAACAGAAACTTGGAGGGGAAGAAAAATGATATTTCCATACAGTTAGTTAGGGTGAGCGAGAAATGTGGAAGAGAGTAGAGTTTAGAGAGAGAGAGAGAGATAAAGGGGTAATACTTGTTGTATTCCCTCTATGTCCATCCATACCATTATATCAAGTGATAATAATAGTAAGTAACCACATCCCACCTATACGAATGGGCTTACAACAAAATGTAAGTTGTAAATGTTTGATAATATTTAATTAACTACTCGCCCATTTGTGTACTACTAAGTCTTCTACGGTTTGAACTTAAATTCCCGCTCCTGTATCTGCTTCCCATTTTGTTGGAGTCATAACACAACATGACCGTCATTCACTGTTTGGGCTCGATGGCCCCCACGACTTTCACGGCCTGCACGGCCCCTCATCCACCTCTTGAGCCCCGAGATGCGGCCCGGCTAGCCCCAATAGAAGCTACCGGTGTTTGTCCCCTCGGATTGTTTCTTGTTGGCATATGTCTACCTTCCGTTTCGGAAAAGGAATTTGAACGAGTCATTAGACTCCAATCAATGTCAATTGACAGAAAATGTTATAGACACGTATTGGCCCAAGTCACCGCCATACCAATTATTAAGGGTACCATCTTAACAACTAGAGACCTTGCAACCTAGGTAACAATAGTCCTATAACGTCAAAATACAATGCTCATGGTTTTCAGGAAAAACTCTTTTGTAAAATTGCTTGTGAGAGGTTGGTTACATAGTTTAGAAACTGAGAGGGCTCTGATACCACTTAATTGTCACGCCCCGGACCGCATCCAAGCACGTGTACAACCGCCCTGTGATCAAGTGACGTCACTCGCAAGTCAACCTCACTTAATCACAAAAGGTTTTCATGAACATCATTCATACCATACTCAGTAAGTAAACATACATAACAACATCATATCATAGATTGAATGAATAGCGGAAAATAATCATCAGTCAATCACAAGCCACATATGGAAAAAAAAGGCTCGTAGGCCAAAACAAAGTAATATTACAAAAGTATCCATGAGCATAGTTTATGATTTTAAACAGTAAAGGAAGCACGAACCACGTCTTCCTCTAGATTTCGTTCACCCATGCAAAGGTGTAGACAACAAGCTCTAGCTTCAACCTGAAATAGTGCCCCCCCCCCCCCCCCCCCCCCGAAGGGGTCAGTACAAGTACCGAGCGAGTAGCAAGCTAAATGTAGAGTAACTAACGTTTCAAGTATAAGACCCAAACATAGGGTGAT